AACTTGTTACTAAGCTCTAAGACCCGACTAAATAAGGCTACTTGTGTTATACACGGTTCAAAGCTCACAACTTCCAGTAGTATAAATTTAATGTTTATTATGCTTTTAACTTGTTACTAATACCATTGTATTTGTGGTCTTTTTTCTTTCCTTCTGGAACTGATGATTCAATAAATATAAAAACAAATAATGTAAATTATTCCAGCTGCTGTTTGTTTTTTGTAACTAAACTTTATGAATATGAATAAACCATTTTTATGCATAATCTTTTTCTGTAAGTTATCTCTGTGGATAATCTTTTTGTATGAATTATCTCTGTTTAACGATAATCTTTCTTAATGAATTATCTCTGTTTAACGATAATCTTTCTTAATGGATTATCTCTGTTTAAGGACAACCTTTTTAATGGATTATATCTGGTTATGGAGAGGTTTTTTTAACGGATTATCTCTGATTATGAACAATCTTTTTAATGGATTATCTCTGTTTAAGGACAACCTTTTTAATGGATTATATCTGGTTATGGACAAGTTTTTTAGCGGATTATCTCTGATTATGAACAATCTTTTTAATGGATTATCTCTGTTTATGGACAATCTTTTTAATGGATTATCTCTGTTTAAGGACAATATTTTTAATGGATTATCTCTGTTTATGGACAGTCTTTTTTTGTATGAATTATCAGGCGGAAAAGGCGAAACTTCAGTAAACAAGCAACAGAAATCCTTAATGAATACTTCTACTCCCACCTGAGCAACCCCTATCCTAGTGAAGAAGCTAAAGAAGATCTAGCCAGAAGGTGTTCTATCACCGTGTCACAGGTAGAATCGTCTCATTCTTGTTCTTCATCAGTTTCTTGTTTATCTGGAATGCTCTTTTCTTTCGTAAAAGTTAAGACCACAGCGCCACCTTTTATTACCTTCTCCCCCCAATAAAATAAATAAATTAAAAACAGTTTAACAGAGTATAATTTTTCAAAGATTTTAAAGTATTTCAAGAAAGGAACAGGAAGAGTTTGTTATTTTTTAATGTTAATTTAATTAACAGTATTGATTAAAAGGTTTAATATATCTGTTTTCATTATATTTTATTATTATAACTTCATTATAGGGATTATTTTGCATTGTTTTAGGACTAATTTAAGGATACGGTAAACACAACAGTGGTCGGAACACACTATTAATATTGTTAAAACAACAATTATTATTGCGTGATTAAATAAAGAATGTAGTGTTGAAGAATATAATAGGCCTAACATTAATGTTTTATGACAACTGTAACTGTAAACATGCTTCGTCAGTTTTTTTAAAAGGTGTTCATTCCATAACGGATTCTGTTGTTATAAATAAGAACGAACGAACATCGTATTTGATTATCTACACTCATTAACTGAGTTCTAGTTTAGCTTTTATCTCAGTAGGGTCGCGGATTCGAATCCCCGTCCCACCAAACATACTCGCCCTTTCAGCCGTGGGGGCGTTAAAATGTGACGGTCAATCCCACTGTTCGTTGGTAAAAGAATAGCCCAAGAGTTGGCGGTGGGTGGTGATGACTAGCCGCCTTCCCTCTAGTCTTACTCTGCTAAATTAGGGACGGCTAGCGCAGATAGCCCTCGTGTAGCTTTGCGCGAAATTCAATTAACAAACAAAGCTTTCTCTGATCGAACTTTATTATTGATAGATAAATAATTTCTTACTGGCATGAAGAATTTAAAAGTCATCCTAAGATTTTGTTGACGTCTGTACTAATACTTACACGATGTTCGTAAGAAAAGTGAATAATAAAATGACTTTAATGGACTTTCCTGAGGTTAATGGTCAGTTAAATTATATTGTATCAAGCCTCACAGAACTTTCAGTGAAAACATTTCAAAGCTTTAAGAGAATGTTTTGGTGTGATAAGTAGCTCCGCGTGAACCCCCAGTGGCACAGCGGAATGTCTACTGACTTACAACGCTAGAAACCGGGTTTCGATACCCTTGGTGGGCAGAGCACACATTGTGTAGCTTTGTGCTTAACTTCAAACAAAGACATAAAATCTCCGCGCGTTTGCTCGGAATAGCCACCTATATTTTTCTCCTTAAAGCCTGATATATTCATTATGTCCTCGTAAACAACCGTGTCTGTTGCAGGTTTCCAATTGGTTTGGCAACAAGCGGATCAGGTATAAGAAGAATATCAACAAAGCTCAAGAGGAGGCCAATTTGTATGCAGCCAAAAAAGCAGGTTAGTATAAAACCATTTCCAATCTTTGTTTTTTTTGTAGCGTTTATTGATTTTATTGCAGTTGATCTCCCCGACACATTCTGAATTCAACATTCTCGGGCTGGAACTTTCACCAGTCGAGCGTTAGGGATTTGTTTTCATCTCTCAGTACTAACAGTCTAGACAATATATTACTGATTTCTGACAAATTGTAGAACGATTTCCTTCTTTCTATATACGCAAGTGAAACGGAGTAGCCCCTACTGCCCCTGGAGACAACCCAACAGAGAAGCGACACTGACAGCCGAAGAGTGGAGCCCCGAAACGCCAGATTGTAAGTGTTAGAAGGTTGAAAAATTAACAGTTAGCATTT